TTTTCTACACCCCCCTTTTCAAAATCGAAGTTACACCCCTGAGTTAAGATGGTAAAAGTCAACTGCATACTGTATATAGACATCTTATTTCACAGGCAATTTGGGATATTAAAAATGTAGATTTATAGACATTTGCTGCCATAAGTTTGTTTCATATATCTGGTTATAAGGAAAATTTTCAAATAGCAGCCGGTGCAATGTTTTCAGTTATTAACCGGTGCAATATATGCTAAGACCCTGATAGCAACCGTAACTTTAAAAAATCGTTTTTTATCCAAAAAACTCTTTTAAAATAAACTTTTCAATTTTTAAAAATTATTTCTAAGTATTATTATAGATTGACGCATCTTTAAATACCAAAATACCCACAATCTGAATAATAGATGATTTAAAAAAGCATAAAAACTGGGTATTTATTGACTTGAGATTTGGTACAGGCTTCGGAAATTTTACTAATTCTAAATTATTAAAGGGCTATTCTGCAAATTACACATGACAACATCTATAGAAATATCTTACTTGTTCCGTGCACCTGGACTTTTCAGAGATTATCTTGATTTGGGGTCTTAATTTCACTGTTTTACAACTTGTTCTAAGAGTTTTCAACATATTTATTTCTGCTAGCAGCCGTACAATTTTCGAATAGCAACATTGAACGCGGTTTTGTTCCGATAGCAGCCGTTTAGGTACTACACCGTGATATAGTCTAATCATTGATTTTTCATTGTAACCTTGTTTTCAATCATTTTGTAATATTAATATTCACAGTTTTGATAAAGAATTTTAAAATAAGACAAAGAACATTAACTTGTACTGTATCACGATACATACATGGCGATACGATATGCGTATCATGAGACCTTGCGATAATACGTATCGATGTATTGCTGTATTGTTACACCTCTAGTAGATACTTGTACACTGTCAGTGTGTTGGTTTTAAATTGTCCTACATAGAGATTGTTCTCATCATCCACACACACACTACGCGGACGGCGTACCCCTTGTTGTTGTGTGAGTAATAGAGACAAGAACTGACCGTCCTGATCAAGGAGGTGAACAGTCTCACTGACATAATCACACACCAGGATGTGACCGAGGATATCAGTACAAATTCCAAAGGGATCGAACTCTGACCCCTGACCTGTGTAGGAGAACCTGTGTTGTCCTGATTTATTCACCACCACTACTGCCCTATTAAGAAGGTCTGATGTACAGATATCTCCATTGATGTTTTCTGTTATGTAGCATGGTGAATTATACAGACCCTGCCCTTTGTTATCCCACTGTATGTTCTGTAGTTCTTTTCCTGTCTTGTTGTACCTGGTGACTTTAGCCTGGCGCTCTCCATCTGTCACCATCCCCACCAGTAAGTCCCCATTGATGTGGGAGGAGTATATGCTGAGTGGTTCCCAGTCTCCAGTTTTAATGAATTCAGTGATATTATTATCCTGTGTTATCCTATTGATGACTTTCTTGTTTTGGTCTGTAAAGATCAGATCCCTGTCCTGTGTCACCGTGTGGTAACCAAGTCCACCATTGGTTTTTATCTTCTGTATCACATTCCCCTGTAGATCTGTTTGGACAAGATTACCATCACTATCACTGATCCAGAGTCTGTCTGATTGATCTAGTGATACATGGTGTACACTATCAACACCTGGTACATTGAACTCCCTGACCTTGGTGACAGAGGCAGATAGAGACATTGTTTGTTTCTCGTCAGATTTCTTTCTGTCTTCTTTCATCTGTTTATGTGTAGGTTTCATTGCTGTATTGTAGACTCTTTCTATGGGCCTTATTTCTCTCTTCTCTACTTTAGTGTTGGGAACATGTATTTTTCCAAGTAACTTGGTGACATCACTTTTGGTGTATTGACCAGCAGTAAATCCTGGTGTGACTGGTTTTGTTGTCTCTGGTATGGATTGGATCTTTGGTTTCTTCTCAGACATTAATTTCTGGGTTTCTGTAGAGGACAGGCATCTGTGGAGCTTTTTGACAATGTTATGAAGATAAGTGATGTAATCATCCATGGTCTTGTCTTGTACGTTTAGATCTTCTAACAGTGAATGCTCTATCTGGTCTAACTGCTTCATGTTCTCAGATATGACTGTGTCCACCAAACTTTTCAGGGACTCACCTTCAGTCTTCATGGATGTTCTGATGTTGTCCATGATGTGTTTGATTTCTGAGGAATCTTTTTTAATTTCTTTTTGTAAATCTTGTGATGTGGGGAGAAAATACTCTTGGATTTTGGAAATTTCCTGTTGGAAGAGTGCAAATTTTTCTGCATAGACTGCTTCAAGATCAACAAATTTATGCCTTTCATGGTCTCCCATTGTAGCACATTTAGAGCATAGTGGAACCTGGCATTCTTCACAGAGCATGTCCACATCTTTAGTGGGGTAGATCTTGCATTTTTCCACAGGAAGTTGTTGTTTACGTTGCTGGTAAAGGACCACCTCATGGTTCTTGTTTTCTGGACTTTTCAGATGTTCCTCGCTGCATTGTTTACACAATCTTTGATGACAAGGGTTGCAGTAGAACTCGCAGTTTCTTTCACAGTCTTCAATGCCACACTCTAAAAAGTGCTGGGCCCAGCGGGGAATATCAATTTTAGAAAACGCCATCTGAAAAAATAGGATTGTATGTTGTTAGTATACATATGTTCTAATCTATATTTGTTTTAGAATTGGGGAAAAACAGATATTATTTGTAAACATGTCAAAAGTGATATAATTATTCATTCAATTTGCTAAATAAATTTTTTCTTGGTTTTTATTCCATCATTCATATAAAATTTAAAAGTTGATTTAAATGAGATTAAATGACCTTTATTATACATGTACTTACAGCTTTTATGAATGACCGACAAACGACATTGTTGACAGCTAGACTTTGGATTGTCAATGAGATTTCAGTCGAGACTTGAACAAGATCTGTATTTACTTCCTGGTTAAAATAGAGATAAATATATATTTAAATACCCATACCTGAGGCCTGTTTAACAGAGCGAACGTTTGCCAGCGCTCGCAAACATTCTTTATACCTCCATTAAAAAACTTCCATGACATCACCCATTGTTAATATAAGTCTATGTATATATTTAAGGAATGTTTTTAAATTTAGTGTGAATTATTGGTGTGTGAAAAATCACACAGACTTGTCACTTAGGCATATTTCATGAAGCGTGCTAGCGCTTCAAGAAAATTATGCCTTATGTTTACATTTTTCAGTGTCTATAAGCACCAAAACTATATTGCTGCAATATATATATATCTAACTGACACAAACTATATTTAGGAAATTGCAGTATGTTCTTGTTACTCATGTCTGTCTGTCCATCTAGCTGTCCGTTCATTGGTCTGTCACTTTTCTTCCCTGAACTCCTCTTACATTTTACACAGTAGCCTAATCATTTTTGGGAGTTGAACTATGTTCAATCTCCCATGGTCATCACGTATTTAACATGCGCATTAATTTGTGTTGATTATATAGAGCCGAAAGCGAGGCTACTGTGTCAGCTGATTTTCTCCGATGATATTCAACAGAAAACATACATAAACATCCGCCACAAATAGTTCATGTCATTTTCTCCTGAATTGATCTAATTTTCATATATTGAAATGTAATTAGATGTAATAATGATAACGTAATCTTACTTTGAATATTAGATTTCGTTCAAAGTAAAACTAAATTATAAAAAAACCTCTAAAGTTTTTCGTAATGGAACTCATTTTTTATGTGGCGTCAAACACTGAAAAAGATACGATCGACAAAGCTACATACTAACGGCAAGCGGTAAATCTAGTCGTCCCGACGCCCGACGGTCCCAGATTTTTAGCAATTTCTTTCCTATCGGTTCTCAGAATTTATTCAAACTTTTCATGAACATTTCCTTGGTTTAAATGAATTCATTTATGCATAAAAACTTTAGGAAACATACGTATTTATTACTAAATCAGCAGTATCACCTGCCAAAAGCGGTAAATCTTGTTCTCTGTTATAAAAGTTAAAAACCAAAAAAGGACACTGATGTTTTCGTAAAATCAATTTTTAAAAACAACAAAATGAAGTATATATTTTTTAAATAATTACATATTTGAAGACTGTGAGCAGTGAATTATATAAATTATCAACCGCCTCTAATATAAATATAATGGCAGTGTCAATGTTTGGCAATGGGAAACCCAAAATATGTGTAGAATGAAAAGTAATAGAAGGTGCACAACGGCAGTATGTATTAAAGATTCTATGAAACTTTCGTTCAGTGGTATTATAAGAGTTGCGGATAAGAGATGGGTATACCTAAAGCGTAACAAACAGATAGACGGAAATCCCGATTACTGTGAAATCACTAATTTTTGTGGGGGTTTAATTTTCGTTGTTTTCATGCTATGAAGAGACCAACGAATTTATATCAACCACGAAATGTAAATTCTCATGTGCACAACTACTAAAAAATTTTTAATCCACGAAATCAAATCCCCACGAACCAACATTTTTTCCTCAAACCACGAAATTTTGACCCCACGAAAATATGTGATTTTACAGTAATATATACCCTCCTGCTTTTCAAGCAGGGGGTATAGAAAAGGACTAATGTAGGCAGGCAAGCATTATGGCCCCTGCATTTTTTTTTGCTATTCAATGTCTCTGAATGTCTTTCTCAAGATTGTTGCAACTCAAAAAATCGGAAACAGTTGTCTGTATTTGAAATAATAATATTGTTCACTCACTTAACCTCCCGATCAAAGATTATATTTAACACCATGTTCAACTCCCATGAGTGCTTTCTGTACTTTGATTAGTTAGATATGCAATAAGGTTTCGGAATTTTCATTTAATAGTTCACATGAATTTTAGAAGACTTAGTGGAACTTTGGCAATTTTTATCCAGACACTTATTGATGAAAAAGAAAATGTTATTTGCAGTCGTTGCATAAATAAAGTTGCATAATACCATATTTATAAGTGTATATTTTGTGTATTACAGATTGCTATGGGTCTGCCGCTGTACCGGTTGAAGGACATCAGACAGCTGTATGAAGTGGATACGTGGGGGGACAGTCCTATTGATTTCTCTAACCCCTCCATACACCCCCGACCCCGGGGCCATGTCATAGCAGCCAGAATCACCAGCGAAAACCCTGACGAAGTAAGATTCTGTAAAAAGACATCAAAATTTGTTGCAGCAAAATGAGAAGGAAAACTCAATCCATTCATCAGAAAATTGAGTTGTTTCCCTTAAAGAGTAAACTTAATGTTAATTCCCTTCTTTGTGCTACAATACATTTTGGTTTGATGGCCAGGATAAATATTCCTTTTCATCATTGTAGAATCCCTTATCATGAACTTAATGACTTTCATAATATACAGTACAATAATCATATACCATATTTAAATTTTTTTTTGGTAGGGATTTAAGCCTAGTTCTGGGACTGTCCAGGAGTTGAATTTCCGCAGCAGTAAGAACGTGTGGGGGTACTTCAGTGTGTCTGCCACGGGGGGACTACATGAGTACGCTGACTCCCAGTTTGGACACTGCTTCTCCTGGGAGAGAACAGGGAGGACGCCAGAGAGTGAGTATTTATAGGGATGGGGGTAAGGGAAATTGAAGAAGAGGGACTAGGGAATTCCAGAAATTGCTTGATATCACAATATTTTGTAACAAATATTTTGAAATTGATTGCATTTATTGTTATGTCAAGCAATATCTAGGGAGGGGGAAAGGTTAGGGCTACTAATTGGGAGGGGGTAGTGGGATTCAGGATATTGTCTGATATTATGTAATTATCTTGTAACAAAAAAATTTTCAAATTGATTGTATTATTTGTTCTGAGTTAGATACTTGCTTTATCAGAGTCAAAATATTATCCCTGAATTTTGAATTTATTTTCTCCATTGATTTAACTTTTTCTATCTGAAATATATGAGAAATTCTTTATTAGGAAGATTTAATGATTTACAAGGCTAATAAATAGTAAGCTTATTAAATAGAAAATGTTAGGAAGGAAGCATTTCTTTAACTTCATTTTTAACAAATTACAGGAATTTGGTGGTGGCGCTGAAGGAGCTCTCAATCCGTGGAGACTTCAGAACCACGGTAGAATACCTCATCAAACTCTTCGAGACTGAGGAATACCAGAACAACAAGATAACGACGGGCTGGCTGGACAAGCTGATATCTGAGAACGTCCAGGCAGAGAAGCCGGACGTCATGCTGGGTGTGATATCCGGAGCGCTCCATATTGGGGATCACCAGATCCAGGAGTGCTTCCAGATGTTCCAGACCTCACTGGAGCGCGGACAGATCCTGCCGGCTACGTCGCTCAAAAACCACGTGGACGTGGAGTTCATCAGTGAGGGGATCAAGTATAACGTCAAGGTAAGGTCAAGGACAGGACTTGTTTGAGCATTATTACCAAGTTTGATTTTCTGTGAATGAGAAATTTAGATTTCCTGAATGTAATGTTGTAAGCAAAGGGAACAATTATAATGTAATGGTAAGGTCAAGGGAAGGACTTGTTTGAATATTTATACTAAGTTTGATTTTCAGTTAAAGGCCGAGATTTTTAACCGTACGGTTTTCTCAGGTAAGGGGAGGGACTAAATTTTACTTGCATGGTACCCCGAGGCATTGACGGTCGTGCAGACCGTGGGAAGCGCTAATCCCTATACACAAACAGTATACACAGGAAGTCCATAGGTATTACCTGTACAGCTTGATGGCCTACTGTTCAAAATAAAATAAGTAAAATTTGACATCGTAAATAAAAAAAATATCAATAGTAATTAATGATAATTGTAAAAATTTTGTAATTTCAGACTTATATTTCATATCAGACAAGAAGATATCTCGCAGACCGACTTTTGTAAAAATCTACTGTATGTTGTACGTCACATGTACAACAACAACGACTTGGGTTCTTTGTAGAAAAAAATAATCATTATGGAATCATGTCAATTAGTAACAGTTACTTGTTGTTTACTGTGTATCAAAAGTCGCGTGGTCCAATTTTAAGCAATTGTACATTCTGTAACCTATTGTGAAAAAATCACGATAACGATGGTTTTGTAAAGTTAAATTTCATACTAGTATGTGTGTATTTTAAGTTAATTTAGGTTATAATAAAAAAAACTGTAAACAAAATATTAAATTCTTGCTTTCATATGCATTTCTTTCAAAACTATTTTTTACACCTGTGACCTCGAACGAAGGTAAAAATGCAACCCACGAATCTTAATACTTTAATTCTTGACCAGATAAGGTTGTTTCTTATCAGATATTTTGTTTTCATCCTTAATTAATCATTACATGCAAAAAGTGTTATCAGCTTAGTTTCTCCTTAATTTTCATCGTAATTTTTCGCTGCGTTTGAAAACAAGAATCATTCTTAATTTTTACAAGTGAAAACAAGTTTTCATTCACCTTTGAAATTTTAATTAATAAAAATATTCACAATCTTGATTTATTTAAGGAGGGACCTATGTCGTTCGACGTCAAAGCAGCGTTATATGACGTCACAATAGCGACGTTTGTTTTTTTTACCGCTGACTTTTTCAACTGTGATTATAGGCGTAACATTGTTATTAATCAAAAACGCACACATTGTACAAAAAGATTTTTTTTCATCATTTAAAACAGTTTTATTTCATGTATGGAGTTTGTTAATATCAGATTTCTCTTCCTTTGGTTGAAAATTCATAAAAATTTCTGTTGTGAAGAAATACCTCTATGATATGCTGATATAAAAATGCAAAAAATGTAAGATAAAATTCAGCAAAGACAGCGGCTTAAATTAGGGAGATATGTTAAATTTCATGATTACCATTAATTGTATTTTCTGGATAAAACTAAAAAAAAAGGAAATGTACTTGTACCTATTTTTACTTATTGATTTTTAGTGTATGTAGATTTTATTGTATAAAGTCATTCCTATTAGGTGTTGGTTGTTGACGGAGAGGGGGGGGGGGGCAGAATGATAAGAATGAAGAAAAAAAGAGTATATATGTTTAAATTATTTCTTATCAAAACAAAATACTCGTTTTTTGCAAAATAGTTTTATATTTAGAAGTTTGTCAATGCTAACTTACCTTTTTTTTAGTGCAGTAAGGTCATTATTTATGACCAAAGAGTGCGAAAATAACAGAAAAGGTTATATTTCGCGTTTATTTTATCATAAAGGTATACTTTTTTCCTCGTTAAAATAAAGAAAGGGGTCATTTCTTAAAAAAATATGAATTACCACATTTTCACACAAAGACTTTTTAAGATATTACCTGTTATACATGTCGGAATTGTAAAAATTACGACAAGAAAAACGGGGTGAAACTTACATTGTGCTCCTGTATAATTTTTTATGCGAGATGAATTACAATGAATTTGCCTTCATTTTAAAGATACAAGTCATATAAATTAAATACAGGTTGATTTCGAATGTGGTTTGACATTTTTGGTTCTTTTTAGCGTATATTTAGAGTAGAACAATAACTTCTGGAAATAATCTATTTTTAGCATTTCACACTGTTTTTGCACATGCTCCTGTGTAAAAATAAGCATATAAAGGTATTGTTTTTAATACCTAAAAATTAAGATCAAGTGGTCAGAAAAGAAATGTCAAAGTTTTGAAAATTTCACACAAAGACTTTTCGGACATAGGTCCCCCCTTAATTGAAATACAATGACTCACAGAGATGTTTGTAAAACAGATAATTGATTAATTATAATCAAGCTGAAATTGTTTACGATTGTGATTTAGCGGTAAACATTAGAAGACCGAAAGTTAATTTGATGATGGCGACGCGTGTCAAACAAGGTCAAAGAGATATACACAGGGACTAGTAGCTAAATGTCAATCAATTTCAAGTACCCAATGATGGACCTTAAATTATTTGATTGACGGGGGAATACAGACCAGGTAAATCTGAGGGCGGTGCTTATTATCTCGGGCTTTAATGAGAAAGAACTATATGCGGTATATTACATATACATGTATTTGCCCCCACAAAAGTCATATTTTGAAAACTTCCTGAAATGTGCTGAATTCAATAAATTGTATGAGAAATATGAATTAACAGAAAATATTATAGTGTCAAAGCAGTGTATTCACAATTTTTGATTTTATGATGTCACAAACTAGTCCGATTCTATATCCTTTTTCAGAAAGAGGACAAAATGGACAAAATTCAACAATTTCAGCTTTAAAATTTATAGAGCGCAAGTTTGTTAGGGAACAATATTGACATATTTCATTGATATTATCATTATACACATTATATTAAAATATTGATCCTGAACACACATGCGCTTGGTGACATTTACTCAAAATATCGACAAAATATGTACATTTTTCTGTAAAATTCATAAAAAAATGAAATTTATGTCATGTTTGTGACGTCATTATGTACATATGGCGTAATTAATTATGAAAATATTCAAAATTCAGTGCTTTGAAGTCAGCATATTCTCCCCTGTTTAAGAACTTAATTAAATATATCTCCATCAAAGTTTGATTTGGGGGGCAAATATGGTTATTACCAAATAAAGTTGTTTTGTGAATGTTAGGTTGTACTTTTATCAATTTGAATACTGTACAATAGAAAATAAATTGTACATCAAATAAATTCTGATAGAATTCAACACTGTTCAGTAAGTGTGAAAAATAATGCTTTTGACAACTTTTTTTTAGCTCACCTGAGCCGAAGCTCAAGTGAGCTTTCTAATCGCATTTTGTCCGTCTGTCCATCCGTCTGTCTAGCTGTCCGTCTGTCTGTAAACTTCGCACATTTTAGACTTCTCAAGAACCACTGGGCCAATTTTGACCAAACTTGGTACAAAGCATCCATGGGTGAAGGGAATATAAATGGTTAAAATGATGCCATTGGGCCAAGTCCCCTCACAAGGGGAGATAATAAAAAAAAAACAAAAATAGGGTGGGGTCATTTAAAAATCTTCTTCTCAAGAACCAATGGGCCAGAAAAGCTGAAACTCATGTGGAAACATTGTGGGGTAGTGTAGATTCTAAATTGTTCAAATTATGAGCCCGGGGTAGGGTCACTATGGAGAATCAATTTTTACACAGAACTATGTAGGAAAAATCTTTAAAAATCTTCTTCTCAAGAACCACTGGGCCAGAAAAGCTGAAACTTATGCGGAAGCATTCTGGGATAGTGTTAGAATCTATATCAATAGCTCAAATCATGACCCCGAGGTGTAGGGCGGGGCCACAGGGGAATCAAGGTTTTACATAGAAATATATAGGAAAAATCTTTAAAAATCTTCTTCTCAAGATCCACTGGGCCGGAAAAGCTGAAACTTAAATGGAAGCGTTCTGGGAGAGTGTAGATTTCAAATTGAGTACATTATGATCAGTGGGGTAGGTTGGGGTCACAAAATTTTTTACAAAGGGCAAATCTACTAAAGAACAGCATGGTCAAAGCTTCTCAGGTGAGCGATGTGGCCCATGGACCTCTTGTTATTAAATACTTATGAATTCCATTTTTGTTGTTTATTTTTTCTAGGTGGTGAAGACAGGGCCAAACAACTACTTTATTTGTATGAATGACTCCATGCTGGAAGTGGAGGCACACAGGTGATTTAGAGAGCAGTTTGGTTATTCAGATTGTAAATGTGTGATATCTCAAGCATTGAAATAAATGATAAAGAATCTGTATTTAAGGAAAAAAAATATGAAAGTTACAGAAACTTTCAATTGTAGAATTAATACTGTAAACCAATTTTAACTTGCAGCAACTTTATATTGCAATTAACTGTGGGTAAACTAGTTTTCAATGATAAATTTTTGCAATCAAGTCTTCGGAGCAGGAGGTATACTGTTTTACCCTTGTGTGTCTGTCCGTCTGTCTGTCCGTAACAAATTTTCGTTGCAGTTTTCTCAGCAACTACTCATCGCAGATGCTTGCAATTTTAAGACAAACTTCTCTGAGACATGCCATACGGTGGGATACATTTTTCGTTCAAATCCCATGTCAACTTCCTGTTTGTGTGTGCGTCTGTCCATTTCACACATAACAAATTTTAGTCGAAGTTTTCTCAGCAACTACTAAACGTAGATGCTTGAAATTTTAACACAATCTTCTCTGACGCATGCCATATGGTGGGATACATTTTTGTTCAAATCCCATGTCATGATGTCAACTTCCTGTTTGTCTGTGCGTCTGTCCATTTCACACATAACAAATTTTGGTCGAAGTTTTCTCAGCAACGACTGAACGTAGATGCTTGAAGTTTTAACACAATCTTCTCTGAGGCACACCATATGGTGGGATACATTTTTGTTCAAATCCCATTTCAACTTCCTGTTTGTCTGTGCATCTGTCCATTTCATACATAAAAAATTTTTGTCGAAGTTTTCTCAGCAACTACTCAACGTAGATGCTTGAAATTTTAACACAATCTTCTCTGAGGCATGCCATATGGTTGGATACATTTATTTATAAATCTGATGTCAACTTCCTGTTTGTCTGTGCGTCTGTCCATTTCATACATAACAAATTTTCGTCGCAGTTTTCTCAGCAACTACTCATCATAGATGCTTGAAATTTTAACACAATCTTCTATGAGGCATGCCATATGGTGGGATATATTTTTGCTCATCTCGGATATTAATATCCTGTTTGCCTGTGCGTCTGTCCGTTTCATACATTACAAATCTTTGTCGCAGTTTTCTCATTAGCTATTTATAGCGGATGCTTGAAATCTTATTACACTCTTTGTTGAGGTATACCATATGGTGGTATTTATTTTGATATGAATCTGATGTCAACTTCATATTTTTCTGTGCATCTGCCTGTAATTGAACTTGTGTATTTTAACATGATAGTGCTTATTTACATCAGAGCGGGGGTATTGCTAGTGAGCTTTGGCTCACAGATTTCTTGTTTTATCTATTGTTAATAGACAAAGAGACTTTAAGGTCCAGTTCATGGTGAGAAAAATTCTTAATGATGAGGCTTTCGCAAACCTAGTGAAAATTTCTCGCACACAAATAAAAGTTGATTTACAATACTTAATTTTGTTTACAGACTAAGTGATGGGGGCTTGTTGATCTCGTTTGACGGAGCCAGCTTCACTACTTACATGAAGGACCAAGTAAGCAGCTACAGGATAACCATAGGAAACAAAACCTCTGTACTTCATAAGGAGAATGATCCTACCAAACTCAGGTATTGTATAAAACAGCTACAGGATTACTATAGGAAACAAGACCTGTGTACTTCATAAGGAGAATGATCCTACCAAACTCAGGTATTGTATAAAACAGCTACAAGATTACTATAGGAAACAAGACCTGTGTACTACATAAGGAGAATGATCCAACCAAACTCTGGAATTGTATAAAACAGCTACAGGATTACTATAGGAAACAAGACCTGTGTACTTCATAAGGAGAATGATCCTACCAAACTCAGGTATTGTATAACACAGTTACATGATTACGATAGGAAACAAAACTTGTGTACTTCATAAGGAGAATGATCCTACCAAACTCAGGTATTGTATAAAACAGTTACAGGATTACTATTGGAAACAAGACCTGTGTCCTTCATAAGAAGAATGATCCTACCAAACTCAGGTATTGTATAAAACAGTTACAGGATTACCATAGGAAACAAGACCTGTGTCCTTGATAAGGAGAATGATCAAACCAAACTCAGGTATTGTATAAAACAGTTACAGGATTACTATAGGAAACAAGACCTGTGTACTACACAAAGAGAACAACCCTACCAAACTCAGGTATTGTATAAAACAGCTACAGGATTACTATAGGAAACAAGACCTGTGTACTTCATAAGGAGAATGATCCTACCAAACTCAGGTATAGTATAAAACAGTTACAGATTGTATCAGAAACAAGACCTGTGTCCTTCATAAGGAGAATGATCCTACCAAACTCAGGTATTGTATAAAACAGTTACAGGATTACTATAGGAAACCAAACCTGTGTCCTTCATAAGAATGATCCTACCAAACTCAGGAATTGTATTAAACAGCTACAGGATTACTTTAGGAAACAAGACCCTGTGTCTTTCATAAGGAGAATGATCCTACCAAACTCAGGTATTGTATAAAACAGTTACAGGTCTCTAGGAAACAAGTCCTCTGTACTTATAAGGAGAATACTACATCAGGTATTGTATAGGAAACAAGACCTGTGTACTTCATAAGGAGAATGATCCTACCAAACTCAGGTATTGTATAAAACAGTTACAGGATTACTATAGGAAACAAGACCTGTGTCCTTCATAAGGAGAATGATCCTACCAAACTCAGGTATTGTATAAAACAGTTACAGGATTACTATAGGAAACAAAACCTGTGTCCTTCATAAGGAGAATTGTATAAAACAGTTACAGGATTACTATAGGAAACAAGACCTGTGTACTTCATAAGGAGAATGATCCTACCAAACTCAGGTATAATAGGAAACTGTGTAAAGGGAGAAAACTCTGGTACAAAATCAAAAACTTCTAAAGAAACTAGGAGACTTATTGTTCAAAGAACAATAAGAGGTCTTTCCAGCTTTTTAAGTGTTTCCGTGTCATTTGGGTTGAAAAAAAGAAGAAAAACAACAAAAAAAAAAAAAAAAATGAAAAAAAAAAAATCATGATGTGCTCCAACAGGATTCGATCCCTGGACCCTCTGATTAGCAGGCGAGCGCTCTAACCACTACGCCACGGGTTCCGTTGAAATTGTCTTGTATTATAGTCGAGTTAAAGTTACCCAAATTCCTTGATTCATTGACCAAGTCAAGAAAGAGATCCACTTAACAAACTTCTGACAAGCTCCTGGTTGTATATGTGAGTTGTAATGAGATTGTTTTCGAGTAATTTACGGATATTGTCTGATTACAATTATGATATTGCTTTTAACGGGGATACATGCATTTGAGGTTGCGTAGCAATTTATGTATTAAAAGGCCGCGTGCGTTTTGACAGATATGGTAAACTCATAGGTATGATTTAATAATCATTTCTATTTGAATTGAATTCATAGTTACCAGCATAAATTAAACTTGAAACATGCATCTCAAAAAAAAAAAAAAAAAAAAAAAAACGGTGTCATTGAGAGCGTGGAAATTTATTTGACAGGAAAAACTCTATTTTCGAGATTCATTTCATTAATTTTAAATCTAAATAAAATTGAAATAAATTCCACATACTAAAGAAAGCAAGAATATTTAGTATCGAAATATCGTATTGGAGCAGGAGAATCGAGTGATATTAACAACAATCGAAGAAAGGGCCCAAATAAAGTTTAAATTATTTTTTATACCCAGAAACAATTAAATTTCAGACAGAAAAAAATGTAGATTTCGCCGATATTCACTAGAATTTAATTGTACTTAAGAGACTCACCGTAAAACTCTCAGAGCACTTTCTTTGGGGTGTTTCTACATGCTGAACTGAATTTTATCTTGATCTTTTATTTCCTTTGAGTTGTAAAAAAAATTTCTATGCCGCTATTGATTTTTTTTTTTTAGAGAAATCGGGGGGGGGGGGGATTATATAAGTATTTGTTGACGTGAGAATTTAGTTCCACATACTTAAGCTTGAATGTGCCCTATGGGCCAAAGGTCAAGGTCATTCATCAAGGTCAAAGGTCAAGGTCATGAAAAAAAAAAAAAAACAACCAACAAACAACACTTTTATAAACTTAGTTTTACACTTGAAGCTGAATCTAATCTAGGTAAAGAAAATGAATATATTTTTTAAACTTTGAGAAAGGTCAAGGTCAAAGGTCAAATATCAAGGTCAAAGGTCAAGGTCATTTGAACCAAAACCCCGTAAATAAGCAATTTCTATTCCCCCAAATGACCTTACCTTTGACCTTGACCTTATATTCAAGGTCAAAGGTCAGAAGATCTCATGCAGTTGGGCCCATGTCCTTACATTTGTCGTTAAGAAGTTTTTAGTTTTTCTAAAATATAAACTGCCAGGGGAATAACTACTTTAAATGTTTACGAATTCTTTCGCATCAATAGAATGAGAAGTGTACTTAATTAGTCGCAGACATTGTTGAAGGTTTTATACCTCTACGGTTTACGGTTTCGGAGGAGTAGCGATAACAAGGGTTTACAAGAAAGGGGCACTAACTTTTATAGGGTTCAATTTAGGGAAACATGGAATCTCTGAAATGGTTTTAAGAGTACATACTAAAAATGCAAAGAAGTTTTGAATTTGGCTAAGAACAAAAGAGCTATAAAAAATGCTTAATTTTACATATTTTGAATGACCTTGACCTTTGACCTTGACCTAGATTTTAAAGTCAGAGGTCAAGAAATCTTTTGCAGTTGGCCCCATGTCTCTACGATTTGTCGTTTTAGAAAAGTTCTTGATATTCGTAAACATCGCAAACATTCAGGGGCAATAATTCATTATAGGAGTTTCCGAAACCTTTCGCAATGTTTGATTGAAGAGTCTTCTAAATACGTACACATTAATAAAGGTTTATTCTTGCGGTTTACGGTTTCGGAGGAGTAGCGATAACAAGCTTTTATTGCGAAAAGGGGGAATCCCAAAGGGGTCAAAGCTCATATACGCAGGGTCAATGCTAAAAACTTTTACGGAGTACATTCTTGTCGACTAAAAATCTTTTCGAAAATCTTGAAACTAAAAACAGGCGGGAAAAAAAATAAAAAAAAAAAAAAAAACAGAAGAAAATCAATAGGTTTTCCAAAAAGTTAAAAACCTAATTAGTTAAGAAATGTAACATCACAGAAACTGGGACTATGAAATGCATATTTAGAATTAATAATATCAGGTATAAAATATTTAAAATAATAAATTGATACAAGGTATTTTTTGTGACTGCATCCAAATATTTTGGTTATTTTTAAAAATCCTCAGACACAGATGTATTAAAAGACAGATTTTTTTGATTCAAAGATTACACAAATAAAATTAAAAAATTTCCTTTAGTAGATAGTCTTTTTTTCATGCATGAATGTGAATGATTTGAGAATGTTATGTTTTCTATGAATCCCCCCCTGCTGGTAAGCTGTTGAACTACATGATAGATGATGGAGGCCATGTGTTTGCTGGGGATGTGTACGTAAAAAAAGTCATGAAAATGGTCATGGAACTTAGGGTCACAGAAAATGGATGGTAAAAGATGTCT